CTCCTTATTTTGTCCTTCCATCTCATTCATCTGGATGATTGCGAATCAACTGTCCGTCTGTTAATCAGAAAATGTCCACCGATTCAACTTATCCAAAACGCTACTATTTCAACCAATCGACCCAAATGTGTGAACCGTTCCACTTCACTGGCATGCTAGCTCACGGGAACAATTTCCCGACAATGGCCACGTGCAATGCCACCTGTCTTTTCGTGCCCGACATTGAGGCGATCACGATGCCCGCCCATTCGAACGAGCCGATTGCCCAATCTGACTTGGCCGATCCAACCCGATCGGAAGTTAAACGACCGGGTCCGAACAACTGGGGTGCGCGACCACAAACAACTGAGGCGAATAACAGTTCGAAATACCCGGTGGTCGGTTCGCCGTCTGTTGAGAACCAAACAGGTGAGTGGTGTTCGGTAGCCTGTAAATTGATGAACGTGTGACGCCTCTGATCCTGATTGGATTTCTTGGTCAGACGGCTCAAAATCACAGGCTATGGTTGCTCGACCTTCGTTCATGCTGTTTTATCCTTGCTTTCGATTGGTTTGTGCGCAAAAGAACATCCCAACAACTAACTTGTACCTTGATCCGGCCAGAAAGGATACTGTTTGTTGACCGTGCTACTAATTGGGGAGGGGGGAGACCAGCGAGATATGACACGCCGGGAGCAGAAAACGTGTAAACTGACAATTGAATCAGTGCGTCTGCGAGTTTCCACGCATATGCATATGCCGGAAACAGGGGCGAGATAGAAATGGAGAATTATATGTGCCACATTTTGTTACCTCGAACAACCACAGCCTAGATACAGCTTAAGCTTTAGTACTCCATGAACAAACGCTGACTGACTGCAAGAGGCAAAGTAAAATCTCCTGTTGTGATTTTACTTGACTCACACAGTTTAGTCATTTCTTGAAATAGCCCCATTGATTGGATTCCACCATAACTGATGGGACGGTTCGCAGATGAATTCATCCAAGAAATAGGTAGGCATAGAACAATGCACATCAATGTTTTATGAATTTTCGGACAAAAAATAAGCAGAAACATTGATTTACACTTTTGTGCTCCAGAAGACACTTAAACCTTGCTTTTGAATTTAACGCTATAAAACGAGGCTTTCTTCAAAAGTACTGATTCGAGGTTTATCATGGAGCGGTGGTGGCGAAGTGGTTAGGTCACCAACCGGTGACCAGAGTGTCCCGGGTTCGAACCGCTCCACCGCCGCCTGTCTTCCCAGGCAGCCTTTGTATGGCCTCGGTCCCCCCCCCCCTCTTCCTGAAGGTTGGCTGTACATTTGTATATTCTCTAAATAAAAAAGGAAGTAAAAAGACACACACACAGACCATTAAAACCCCACAGCCAACAAGTTTATTGAGTTCTGGTAGCATTTGTACTCGGATAATTTCACATCTATTTCATGTATTTGCGTGACGCATCGCTTGGGTAAAGGTCCACGAGACGTTGGTTAACGTTAAAACGTCAAAACGTTAGTTCAGTTCGTGGCTGCCTATGTCTGTCTACACGGGAGCGTGATTAGTGTTACAGTTTTCTATCCACCTGCAAGCAACACAATGCAATCTGCTGATTTCCTCGTACCAGTCCCTGGCAGTATACCAGAACACGAAGTCAAGAAGTGATGATGGATGGGTTTTTCTGTGGGTATGTGTGTCGGCCCCAGGTGAAACAAAAGCAGACCGTCCTGACAAAAGTCCTTGTGATGCGAAAAATGATTGATAGCAATCCGTCTGTTCCGTGCTGGACCGGACCGGACCGGACTGAAGGAAACGCTGATGTGGGCCGGAGTCACAACACGCTTCAAGTCCAGCTGTTGCATATCAACCCCCAGGGGAAGTTAAATCACCTGACACACTGACGGAGTCGGTTCACTAACTGCAATAT